AGTGATAGACGTGCGGAGTCTGGCGGGCTACAAGTCTCAAACCTAACTGCAGCAGGGGTCAGTACTATTAGGCAACAGATCACATGGACTGGCATAGGCATTGGGGAAGGAGGGCTCCTAAAAGCCAGCTCATTCGGGGACATCTATTCATATATGGTTGGACTCCACTACTAAGTTGGGAGAATAGAGGTGGAATTCAACTTTGGAGAATGACAAAGGGGAACAGTATGCAGAATACAAGGACTCTACCTCCATCAGAATTCCTAGGTATGACCCCCAGGAGTTGAATGGCTGATAAGAGAGGGAGAAGTCAAGATTAAAAGGTTTTAGGAAGAAAAAAGAGGTTATTAGGTAGATCACAGAATCACTGAGGGCTGGAGAAAAACAGAAGGCCATGCTTAGATACAATGCCCCCCCAAATCACACAAGTACACCCGATAAAGTGGGAAACAGGGAATTCCCTGCTGGTCCAGTGGTTAGGACTCAGTGCTTTCACTGCCGTGGCCTGGGTTCAATCCCTCGTCGGAGAAATGAGATTCCCGCAAGCGATGCGGCTCGGCCAAAAAAAAAAAAAAAAAAAAACAGGAAACAAAGGAGTACTTAAAGGAAGATTCTTAGCCCTAAATGTACTAGAAAACAAGTCTGAAATTAATTAACTAAGCATACAACCCAAGAAGTCAGAATGAGCAAATAACCCCAAAGAAACAGAAGGAAAAAGCTAATAAAGTAGACAGGTATCTTGCAAAGCTAGTCAAAGAAAATAAAATACACAGAATTCAGGACAACGTTTGTCGTTTTGGGAATTCCCTGGCAGTCCAGTGGTTAGGACTCCGGGGCGCTCTCACTGCCCTGGGGTTCAATCCCTGGTTGGGGAACTAATATCTCACAAGCTGCACAGTATGGCCAAAAAAAAAAACCCTCCCCAAAACAAAAGCCACAAATGTTTGTTGTTTTATCTGCTCTCACCCCTTGCCCCCTTTTTGGGTAAAAGAACCTCTCTATTCCCTGGGAAACGCATGTCATATGGATCAGGGAGGTTCATCTAGCCTCCCCTTATTCCCCCTACTCAGCCCTGGCCAGAGTGGTTGCCAGGAGAGGGCAAGTGACCAGAGCAAGACCAGTCGGTCTTCCCTGAAGTTCATGGATCCTGAAGAAGTAACTCTCTGTCTGTCAGGACCAAGTGCAAACTGGAGCTTCCTGACGAAAAAACCTATAGGGAGGAAGAGATTGCTGAACCAAGAGGAGCACAGACAATCCAAGAAATAAATGAGAGCCCTGACGAAATTATGCTGGCCTAGGTCAGCTCTGCCTAAAGCTCTGCCCTGAGACTGCAGAACAATGAGCTCTTGTTTGCTTCTGCTGGTTTGAATTAGACTTTTGTCACTTTTAAGTAAGACAGTCCCAAATGATACAAATAGTACGCATGATGTTTTGCAAAAAAAGGCTTAAATATACAAAAAAACACACAATTCTAAAAGTATATAAATTACCAAAACTGACTCAAGGATAGAAAACTTGAATAAAATGCCACAGAAAAATTACAAGGCAAAGATCTACCCTTAAAAAAGGAATCAAGCACAGATTTTATAATTAAAATTCAATCAAAGCCTGAAGAAACAACTCCTTTTCTTTAAAAAAAATTTTTTTTTAAATAAATGTATTTATTTATTTTTGGCTAGATTTGGTCTTCATTCCTGCACACAGGCTTTCTCTAGTTGTGGTGAGGCGGGGCTACTCTTCGTTGCGGTATGCACGCTTCTCGTTGCAGGGGCTTCTCTTGTTGCAAAGCACGGGCTCTAGGCCCACGGTCTTCAGTAGCTGTGGCACGAGGGCTCAGTAGTTGTGGCTCGCAGGCTCTAGAGCGCAGGCTCAGTAGTTGTGGCACATGGGCTTAGCTGCTCCGCGGCATGTGGGATCTTCCTGGGCCAGGGATTGAACCTGTGTCCCCTGCACTGGCAGGAGGATTCTTAACCACTGTGCCACCAGGGAAGTCCCAAAACAACTCCTTTTCTATAAATTACTCCAGTCCAAAGAAAAAGATTAAATGTCTCCAAACCCATTCTACAAGGCTAGCATAATGCTGTTGTCAAAATGGGACACAGAAATCATTAAAATAAAAAATGAAATTGGCCCAAGGATAGACACAAAAATCCTAATAAATAAATATAAAACTAAGCAGAGTTTACATCAGAATTCAAGAATGGTTCAACACCAGGAAACCTAATCATGTAAATCAGTGCAATAATAAAAAAAATCTTTTGACTATCTCATAAATGTCAAAATTCATCACTGTTGAATACAAGAAAAAAACACTCAGTAAGTCGGGTACAGAAGGAAACATCTTCAGCCTAATGAAGTTTATCAACCAGAAACCCAAAGCAAGAATAATATTTCATGATGAAACATGAGAACAATTCTCAGTAAGAGAGGAACAAACAAGGGTGCCATTCAACATTATACTGGAAGTCCTGGCCTCCACAATTCACAAGGAAAAGAAATGAGTGTAAAGGACAGGATGAAACTGCCGCTGGTAGAATATGATTTGACACTCTATCCAGAAAGCCAAGAGAATCAACTGAAGAACTCTTAGAACTAATGAGAATTCAGTTAGATAAATAGGTGGGCACACAGAGATGGACAGCTTTCCTACCTGCCAGTGATGGTTGGAAATGTAATTTCAAAAGAACCCATTGATAACAACAAATAGCTCTAAAATTCTTAAGACTACATTGAACCAGACCCATATGAAGACAACATTTTTTTTTTTTTTGGCTGCATGGCTTGCAGGATCTTAGTTCCCCAACCAGGGATCAAACCAGTGCCCCCTGCAGTGGGAGTGTGGAGTCCTAACCACTGGACCACCAGGGAATTCCCAGAAGATAACATCTTATAAAAGAACACACATAACTAATTTCTGTATAGGAAGATCAAAAACAACCGTTAAGTACCACTCCTCTCCAAATCAAACTATGAGATTTAAAACCACGCCAATGGAAATTGCAACAGGACTTTTAAATGCAATGACCAGTTCATCCTAAAGTTTTTATGTAAGAGAAAACAGGAAAATTCCAAGGAACGATGGGGCAAGGGTGAGGGAGAATGAGTTATCAATCGTGCTATAAAATATGGCGTGTGCACACACAATCAGTGTGCCAGATTCCAAAGAGATCCATATATATGCAGGAATTTCATTTATTTTAAAAAAGGTATTTTGAACCAGTGAGCAAAGAATGAACCACTCAATAAATGGTATAGGGACAAGTGGCTAGCCCTTTAGGGAAAAAAATTAGCCATCTTCCATACAAAAATAAACTTCAGATGAGTTAAAAATACACTCACATCTTCAACTTACCTGGTTAATTTTTTGCACATGAATGTATATACACACATTTCTATACGTGCATATATACACATGTAAGCATATACACACGTGTATATACGTATTTAAGACTACACTAAGCAAGCGTAAAAGAGTGAATGAGGAGCAGGTAAATGAAGTGGTAGCTGGAGAGGATGTGGGATCAGTGACAGGTTTTTTTTTCTGGTTGTTTTTCAGATGGGAGATTGTATAGCACCTTTGATGCTAACATACCCAGTACACAGGATGACAAAAACCAAAACTCACAAAAACTCCTTAAGTAAAGAGAGACAGGCTCCAAAGCACGAGAGGAAAGGCTTAAGTCCCACTGGATTACAAAGGGCAGTAAAATGACAGGAAGATCCATGAGCACAGTTGTAGGGTTGGTAACAGAGAGGTAAAAGTTCCCTCCAATGGTTACTATTTCTTAATGAAGAATGAGCTGCAGTCTGTAACTATCAGGCTAAGAGGGATTTGGTAAAAAAAAAAAAAAAAAAAGTTTTCTAATACGACATCCCAGGGTAGATCTGCCAGGCAGTGCTGCGTGGCCATCTGAGGTTTGTAATTACGAATTTAAGGTAAAACTAATGAACCAGGTTGGCTATTTTCTCTAACAGTTACTTGCGTACAGGCACAGAGGTGAATGACTGGGTTGACCCAAGGTTAGGTTTTACTAGATGAACACGATGGAGGAAGAAAAGGAGTACAGGGTGTAGACCACGGAATTGATGCTGCACAGGGAAGGAAGTGAAGATAGGAGAATGACGGTGAGAATGTGGCAGGGCTGGAAGATGAAGATAAAGAATTTCTATGGGGGGCGGGAGGGGTGGTAGTTGAGCAAGGAGGCCTGGAGGTGGTGATTGTACAGGTTTTTGAATTCAAATGGCGTTGCAATTTCTAGTGACGTCAGGGGTCCAGAGAGTGACTACAGATATAGGCAACAGGCCTGAAATAGAAGACAAGGGCATTAGTGATGGGGACATCAAGGACCTAGGTGGCCATAGTGTTGAACGGGCCCATCCATGGGATGTAGAAAAACAATGATGGAAGCAAGAGTAGAAGACTCTAAGCCAGGAGGTAAACTTCAACGTCTGAGCAGTGACTAAAAGGTGAATGCCAGCAATGAAGAGGGAGAATGTACAGTCAGAGGTAAAAAGCTTCCAAGGAGAAATGGGATGATGTGGTTTGCACGAGGGCTGAGGAGTGATGGTCTGAGTAGCCATGAGGAGGCCACCAACCAGGGGATGTACACGGCAGCATGGAGGTGGGCGCTCCTGCAGTCACAAGTGACTAGAAAGGCAGGGAGAACAGCTTACGAGGCACTGTGAAATTCATCCTGAGGGTCTCGTAGAGGCAGATGGGCACTAAGTCCCACTGTGATCCTGAATACCTGAACCAGTACTAACTGCAAGCAGGCAATGAGGTGGGAATGATCCCAGTTACTAAGTACATGCAAGGAAGCACACAGGGCCTGGCACTTACTAAGTGCCCGACAAGAAAGGGAGAAACTAGGAAAGATTCCAGCCATTTCCCATTTCCTGCCCATTCAGCCCACCTGCCCATGAGGACACCACCTAGGAGCAGTTTTTAACTTTACCACATGTCCCTCCTTCCTCCAAAGAGCCACTCCGACACCAGCATAAGTCACCACCCACCAGGGGTTTAATTCTCCTATGTCAGAAAGTCAGTTCAGAGAAGGGCCCTGCCTTGTCCCCATCCAGGGGGAAAGATCCACAGAGGCTCCTGGGCATGTCCAAGCTCAGAGGAGCCAAGGACTATTCCCTGAGCAGGAGGAGAAGAGGGTCCCGGGGTCTCAGGCTGTCTCTTCTTCACTCTCCTCCTCACTCTCATGACACTGCCTGCGGTTGGTGTTAACAAAAAGGTCAGCATCACCTTCAGAGCTGGACTCTTCTCCTGATGACTGTGGCTCAGCTGGGAGTTCTGGCTGAGCCTGTCTGCATCGGGGTGGGGGGAAAGGACAATTAGCCCAAGGCCTTCTGGGAAAACCAAGAAGCCCCACAAAAAGGAGGACCATATGGCCAAGCAGTCAGGGCTCAGCGAGTCAGACACAGAGAGAATCGCAGGAAACTTGGCCAAGAAAAAAGCAGCAAGAAACTACCTCCTCCTCACCCCCACCTCAAAAATTTGCTAGAGCTACTGACTTTAATAATAATGATTCTATTACAACCAACACTCAATGAACCCACACTGCTTACCAGGTACTATGCTCAGCAATTTTACAAGCGTTAGTCTCTTTAACCCTTACAAAGTTCCCATTTTATAGGTTAACCTGCTTAAAGTCACTCAGTTATAACTCGCAAGGCCGAAACTTTAACCCAGGAGATCTGACTTTTAAATCATACTTTCAACCACAAATTTAGAAGCTCTCACCAGGGACCCTATGTAGGAATGAAGGAAGGTTCTATTTCCCCTCAAGGTACCAAGGCCTGAAACCCCATTTTCTGTCTTCCCTACCCCAGGACTTGTGCCTCACCTGTTCTGGTTGTTGTGTTTCTCAGCCACTTCGGAGAAGGCCTCAGGCCTGTGCCAAGAGAAGAGCTGAAGTCAGAAAGGACAGAGAAACTCCTCAGCAAAAAAGCTGTTTCCAGCTGTTCCTGCCTGAGATGCCATGATCTTCCCTCCCCTAAATCCACAACTAGGAAGTAAATCCTCCAGAGAAGTAGGGCAGCCAGTGACCAAGGGGACCATCCTACCAGAGCCCCTCCTTCTGCAAAGAGCGCACGTGGTCTTTGCAGAGCACAAAGGAGATCTCGGCCTTCACCTTCTCTCCCTCTTCAATAGGGTCAACGATGAGAAAGTCCCCTGCAGGTAGAGAGGAGAAAAAGCACAGTCAGTCCTGCTTGCAGTGGCAGAAGCTGAGGCCATAGGAAACGGTTCTGTCTCCAAAAGGGCTGCCTCTCTCACCTCTCTTGATCCAGATGTTCTTGCGGTATTTGGAGGGCATGCTCACCAGGAAGCGCTGCCCCTCGGCTGTCTCCACCTCATGCAGATTGTTCCCTGGGGTCCTGAGTACCTGGTCCAGGAGAGACCAATTACCAGCCAGCCTCATCAGCCGGTTCCAACACCCACTGAGCTGTGGTGCACCCTGCCCCCACCCCAGGGGCCCAACAGGAGTGGAGAGCAGGGGCAGAGCAGCTGGTCCCCAATGTCACTTACCCTCACGATCTGCTGCTGGTCGGAGGGCACCATGTGCTCCCCCAGCAACTCCTTCACCACATGCTTCCTCTTGGTGGCCTGAGACATGTTGGGTCCTGTCCCAGGGCGGTGAGGGATGCAGAGACTATCAACTCCTCCTCCTGAGTTTCTTGGATGGCAGGCTCAGAGTGCACGACTGTTTTGAAGATGGGGAGAGGCCTTTTACTGAGGAGTGACACAGTGTCCTGGTTAAGAACATGAGCTCTGAAATCCAATTGCTTGGATTCAAACCCTACCTTGGTTATTTCCTGGCTGTTCAATTTCTCTAGACCTCAGAGAAAAGCAGTAGCTAACTCAGAACACGGTTATTAAAACAAAATAATCGTAAACAAAACACTTAGCACAGTGTGAGGCACGTAAAAAAACTCGTATTATTCTTAAGTACTGACATAACCACAAAAACTAAATACGTGTTCTAGAAAAATAAATCATTCTGGCAACCACTTGGGGAAGGAGTAAGATAAACCATTTCTTCCTCAACATGCTTGTACATCCCAGGTGCAGCACAACCACACAACACAGATGCTCAATCTCTCAACAGAGTACAGACACAGACAAGTTAGGAGAATCCAAGTCAGGAACGAGTTAATTAAAGGTCAAGGTAGGCTGGCTTGGTCTTCGACATCTACTGTTTCTGACTTGGGTGCTGAAAAAACAAGGACTAATGCGTACTCAGGAAACTGATGGCTTCCAAAGGAAACTCCGACGTGTCATCCCTAGCTGCCGCCCCCTGCCCTCCTGCCTCCCTATTCCGGAGGAAAAACGTTCAGAGAGAAAGCCCCATACTTACTCTCTGGCCCTCGAATCCCACGGGCGCTGCCTGAAAAGACCCCGCTCTCCAGGCTGGACGCTGAGATCGACTCGTCCACGACTCACTTCGCAGCTGAGCCAATGAAAGCCCAGAAAAAGGACTTGTCGGCGGTCACGACAGTGGAGTCGTCTTGGACTCGGGTCTCCTACGCCTCCGGTTCCCGTCAGACTCTCGCAAGCCGACGGCGAGGAGAACGGCGCGTGTCAGCCTGAGTCGCACACCGTACTTCCGGCGCTCTCCCGGAAGTCTCCCGGCCCCGCCTCTCTCCTTGTCCGTCCCTCTAACTCTTCCCACCATCAGGTCGGCCAAGGGTAAGTCCTTTAGGTTCCGGATGCCGTGCAGCAGAGAAATAAAGTTTTTTTATCGCAGACCTCTGCTCCCTGAGACCGGAAATGCTTCCCGAGAAGCGAGACCACAGAAGGCAGCCCGGCCTCCCGCGAAGGAACCGGAAAGGAGCGCCTACTAAGGGCGCCCTCGAGGTCCGGGGGTGCCTCAACTCGGTGATTCTAAGCGGCTAGAAGTGCCCAATGTAGATTTTTTTTTTTTAAGGCGGCCCTTGAAGCGACCCGGAAGCGGAAGTGGAAGAAAGTTCTAGTGGGTTGAGGGATCGGCGGGAGCAGCCGGGTGGCGGGAGAACCCGTTACGGAACCGGAGCTGTGGGTGAGTGCGAGCCGCGGAGCAAGGCCCGGGCTGGAGGTCGGAGGAGGCGCAGGGAGGAGGGAGAGAGGAGGGGCCGCAAGTGCTGCGACGGGCCAGAGGATGCGCTTTCGGACGTGCCCTCTGGGAGGGCTCGGCCGCGGCACGGGGAGGGGGCGGGGCGCGGCGCGTTTGGGGCGGGCCCGGCGGCGTGGGACGCGGAGGGGGCTGGCGGCGTGGAGCTTGAGGGGCTGGCTGAGCGGGTGTGTGCGCTCCCGCTGCGCCTTCGCTCTGTGAACAGCCAGTGGGGCGGGTGGGAGAGCCCTTCATTTGCTTTTCGGACCAGGTGGTCGTTCCATTCTGGGTCAGTGTCGCTTTTGCCCAACCAAGGTCACAGAGGAGTGACAGCTTTAGGATGGGCCCTGGGTACTGAGCGACGCTCTTTGTCCTGCGTGCGCCACCTGTTAGGGCAGGATAGTTTCTCCTGTGGGACGGTACCAAAACGCAGCTCCCGCAGGGAGTGGCAGAGACCTTTCTCTTGAACAGTGAGGAAAAGACTTTTCTTGGTTCTGTTTTCTCATCCGTAAACTGGGGGAAATCGAGAAAGCCTTCCTAACGGATGCGCTAGCTCTCTCTTACTGTGAGCTTGCCAGTGGGCCTTCGAGAGTTCCCGGGTTTTTAGCCGTAACTTCCCTTTTCTTAGGATTCCCAGATTAAGCCTGATCAAGATGACAACCTCCCAAAAGCACCGAGACTTCGTGGCAGAGCCCATGGGGGAAAAGCCAGTGGGAAGCCTGGCCGGGATTGGCGAAGTCCTGGGCAAGAAGCTGGAGGAAAGGGGCTTTGATAAGGTGTGGGGCGGCTGCGTGCAGCCGGGGAGGGCTGGGGGTGGCCGACTACAGTGCTTCCCCGCAGCTGGGGAGTGAGGAGAGTGCGTGTACCTGTTGGGGATGGGCGGTGGTGTGAGATCTGCAGAGCCCGGCTCCTGTGCTGGGAGCGGCACGGAAGTGGCCTTCTTGTCTTAGTCTCACAGAGCGCTCAGCAGCCCGCCTTTTGCTTTGCCCATCTTGCAGGCCTATGTGGTCCTTGGTCAGTTTCTGGTGCTAAAGAAAGATGAAGATCTTTTCCGGGAATGGCTGAAGGACACGTGCGGTGCGAACGCCAAGCAGTCCCGGGACTGCTTCGGGTGCCTTCGAGAGTGGTGCGACGCGTTCTTGTGATGCTCTCTGGGGAGCCCCCGACCCCGAGCCCCAGCACTGAGTCTCCAGAGTTTGCAGTCAAGTGAGGACTCCTCCCCCGTCCTCTACAAAGGAAAAGATTGCTGTTGTCGTGCGCACATCCCATGTACTCCAGGGTCTTTTGGGAGTTCTCTCCCCTCACCATTTCAACTTTTTTGGAATTCTTACCCTTGCATGCATCCCCCTTTTCCTTTCCCTGCCAGTTTCGTGACAGCAGTTACCAGCTTTTCTGAGTGATTCCTGGCCCTGTCCCTGCCCCCCTGCCCCCACCTCTGGTCTGTTTTATGCCATTTGGCCCTCTTTCTGGCAGAACAGTCACTGTCCTTGTAAAGTTTTTTAAATCAATAAAGTCAGTGGCCTTCATGACTGGGCTTTGTATATGAGAAGCAGGCGGGCTGGGAGTGGCCTATTCCTCAGGGAGTGACCAGGTTTGCCGCCCTCCTTATCAGTGCAGATCGAAACTGGCAGCTTCCTTCCCACTCTGGAGGGCAGCCATCCTGGACACACAGGCCTTGGGCAGGTGCCTTGGCGTGTCTCAGTCCTTTAGTAATGTGGGAGAGAGTGTGGGTTGATCCCTTCCTGGGATCCAGATGTCCATGTGGTCAACAGCTGGGCTAGGTAGCACCTGGTGGAAAAGTCAGTGGCAGTCAGAGCTACTAGGAAAAAGGTGGCTGGGATGTGGGTGAAGGTTTACCTGCCAACTGTCCTGTGCTCTCCTGGCCTCTGGGAGGAGTGGGCAGGGCTCTTGCAGTCTGCCCTGTTCTCTTAGGGAGGCAGAAAGAATGTGAGCATCACAACTGGGGTAGGGGCTTGAGTGAGATGCACTTTTATCTGGTATATTTTCATCTTTATTTCGTTGAAGATTTGGTATGAACTAGGTCCAGAGCTAAGATCTTTGCAAACACTTGTTTCTTTCACAATAACAAGTGACTGTTTCCTCTTCTACGGGTGAGGAAGACTGGTCCTCAAAACATGATATGGAAACCTGAGAGCCCTGTGTTCCTTGGTCATGGCGCTTGGCCTCTCTGAGACTCAGTTTCCCCTCCTGGAAAGTGATGCTGTAAGGATCAGATGCAGTGCTGGAATTGTTCAGGACACCGGCACACCCGCACTGGCACCTCAGCGAATGTTCACAGCAGCTTTGTTTATCCTCAGAGGGTTTACAGTCTGGTGAGGAGAGAAATGACAGATAATAAATACAAACATTGGGATAATATGAGAAGATTTTCATGATCTCAGGGTAGGGAAAGATTAAGAAAAAGTTGATAAATTCAACTCCATTATAGAAACTTCCGTCATCTAAAGATACCATAAAGCGAGTGAGGAGCCTAACCCATGGTTGGAAATATTTGCAACACACGTCGACAACAAAGGACTCTCTAGAGCAAGTTCAGAGCTGCAGTCAAGAAAAAGCAGACAACACAACAGGATAATGGGTAAGAGATGTGGAAGGCAGCCACAGAAGAATACCCAAGTGGTGAATAAGCCTGTTAGGTGTTCAATCACATTCGTAGTCAGAAATGCAAACACGATGCCATTATACGCTCACGTGTAGTTGTAAGTCAGACGATACCAAGTGCCGATGAGGAAGTGGAGCAACAGGATCAGATACCCAGCTGGTGGGAGCGTAAATTGGTATGAACAGTTGGGGAAAAGGGTGTTTGCCAGTAAAACTGAAGACCCACCCTGTGAGCCAGCAATTCCGCTCCCAGGGTTGTGACTGAGGACACGCACACCTGCACCAGCTCTTGAGCGACTGTTCGCAGCAGCTTTGTATATAAGGGCCCCCAGCTGGGTCCCTATGTAGGGATCTCCGGGGGTGGTAAAACTAGAGGGAAAAAAAATGCTTATTGCAAAAGTTGATGGTAAAGAAAAAGAAGTTGGGAGTGATTGCCTTTGTGGGAGGGAGGTGGGCGTAATGCCTGGGAGCACGTGGGGCCGGGAGTGGCAGTTTGCACTTTTTGACCTGTGTGGTGGTCATCAGATATGTTCTGTGTACTTCCCTGCACATTAGCTACGTCTCAGAACAGTAGAAGAAAGATAAAAGGGGAACCAAAGAGACCTGAGGATAGAGCAATTAGGTGATTACTCAGAAAGTGTGATGCTTATTAGTAGAGATGAAGGTTCAGTGCAAGTTTGGGTCTGGGGAGTGTGAGAAGCCCCCCTGGAAAGTCACCAGGTGGCCGGACCTGGGCCCAGCTTGTGTTAACAGGCTGCTGCCTGGGAGGGTGCCAGTCTGAAGACCAGACTGAGGTGGTAATGTGGGCTGTCCCTGGAGTTTCAGGCCATACTGTGTTTCTGATGTTACTCTCGTTGGGTCCAGGGTCACCTTGGAGTCCCCTCAGCCTTGACCCATGTGCTGTGATGCTGTCACACAGGCCTGGTGTGCTTAGGCAGGGGCTGGGCAGGGCCACGGCCTCTCCCTGCTCAGCCTTGGTACTGCCACATGGTTACTGGCACTCTGTGAGGTAATGGAGACTCCCTCCTCTTCCACGACACCCTTCCTGCGGCTCCTGTCCCTGCTGACTGCTGGGGGCTGCCCAGCGGAGCCCTGTGGGACAGGCTTCCCTGCCTCATGCACAGGCTTTGTCTGTGAAGGGGCTGAAGCCTGCCTTCTCACCTCACCCTCGGGCCCAGGCAGTATCTGTGACAGGTTGGTGGGCCCCGAACCCTCAATCTGGTCTTCTTCGTGCATGGCACCCAACTTCCCGCATCAGTCCTGGAGCTGTAGGAGACCAATGGCATCTGGAGTATTCCTTGTGACAGCAGCCTCTCAGAGACCCAGCCCCACCTCGGCCAGCAGGACAAAGGGAACGAGGCCTGGAACATTGGAGAAAGCAGACCTGGGTGGGGATGGGTAGGAGGTGGGTTATCTAGGTGTCAGCCCACACTGCCTGACAGGATGTGCCTGGCCGGAGACATGGGTGGGCCTGGAAATCAGCAAATATTGACCCGGTTTTCCCTCTCCCTGCTGCACCCGAGCCAGAGCTTGACGCCCTGAACCAGTCTATCACGAGTTCTCAGATCTGCCCCAAAGCTTGAGGTGGACCCAACCCATGAACTCCGGGGTCCTGAAGGGGTCCTCCTGCCCCTGGGGAGGAAGTAGGGAGAGGCTACAGGGCAAACCCAAGCCCAAGACTCACCTTGCCACCTGCCCCAGTAGCAGCCCAGAAGGTGTGAAGTACGTGCTCGTGACCATCACATGCGTACGTGTGAAGTATGTGCCCAGAAGGTGTGAAGTACATGCACCCCCCTTCCATGTTGCCTCCTCCCTGCAGGGACCCAGGGCTCTCTCTACTGTCACTTCTGGCCTTGAAGGATGGTAGCTTGAAAGAGCCCGCCAGGCCTGGCTCTGTGCTCAGTTCCTTCCGTGCGA